GACATAAGGACAGACGTGAAAACATCGATATGGGAGACAGGAAACAAATGCTAAAGATTTCATTTTAATCCTGATGAATTTACCTGAAGCTAATATGAATTTGAAGAGGCTTGGGTTTTATCTTTTCCTTTGTAAAATATCTTCAGGAGCCTCCACATAAGTCGAGGTTGTGTTACTCTGGTGTTAATTGCTAAAAGACATTTGTTGTGCAGTTTTTTGTCTATTTAAAGCTTGACACATAAACCTGACTTAAGGCTGACTTTACCTGGGGGAAAAAAAAAAGAAGAAAAAAGAAAAACACTTCTGTGTCATCATGGTCAGCAACTGAAAATGCTCATTTAGAAAACTCAGATTCTTTCAAAACATGGCTTTCCATTTCTAAGATTTTGTTTGGATCTGCTTTACAAATGGCATCAGTTACTGCTAAACGTTGTCAGTGTTATCCTTCAGATTCATTCAAAACATGGCTTTCCGTTTCTAAGAAGATTTTGTATGGGTCTGCTTTACAAATGGCATCAGTTACTGCTAAAGGTTGTCAGTGTTATCCTGGAACTTAGCGCTCCTGGTGCAGTAAGCGGAAACTCAGCAGTTGTGTTTGTTGCCATTTCATTGTTCGGATGCTGCAAGTGACCTCAGGGTATTTTTTGTACCTTGTTAGCACCTTCTCAAGTTCTTTTTTTCCCCTCCTCTTTTCTTTGACTCATGCTCAAACACCAACTTTCTAGTTTCTTCAAGAAAAGCCCTCTGTTGTACCACATGTCATAGGAGAGGAGTACAAGGCTCAGGCACCTCACAGAAATCAATGGGGTTTCTTAATGGGCACAGTTGCCGCATCACATTGCTTACAGCATCAGTATCTAGTATAATATCAGTATCTTGCACTTCAGTAGCACCTTTTATCTAAGCCCATATGATTGTGGGTTGTGGATGAACGTGAATATGTGCAGAGTGAAACGTTTGCAATTTGAAAACATTGTGATTTGAGCATGAGGAGGGAGGGGAAGCATGTTTGTATGTGTGCAAGAGGCAGAGTGAATGTTTGTGGGCTCCAGGACTTTCACAGATTTTGGTCCCATTTCTTTTAGAGGAATGTGAAGACCTAGGTAAGTTTTATTTATCTAATAGCTTCTGCTATGTGGTTTTTTTCTTGAAACAGGGCAGATATATGGCTTTATTGTTTTTATGGTTGGAAATACCATTCCAGATTTTCTTCTTCAAGTAACGTAGCAACTTCAGGGTTGCTTGTATGCAGTCTTCCTTGGCCCAGCTGGTACAGCTGAGAAGGAGTGGCAGGGATTGCTCTGTGATCTCTTCAGTTGTCAAGGCAAACCTGGAAGCCTGGAAGCCTGCCTTGACTAGTTGACTAGCCAGGCTTTTTTTTTTTTTTTTTTTTTTTTTTTTTTTTTTTCTTACACTGTTTCAGGAAAGTAAAGATACTTTAGCATAAGTAAGAACTGGGGTACGACTGTGGCCCACCCACAGGATGTCTCCATTCCTAATATTACCTCGGGCGTGATATTTTCCTGCAAAGCTGAGTAAAATGGTTCCATCTCAAAGTAGGAATTGCTTTCTGAGTCAGACGGAAGGGGGGCATATGTTAGTACACTACATCTAAGTGGTGCTTCAATTTTCTCTATTTATTTAAAATAACGGGTGAACTATTTATTTCATTTCAAAGCAAGTCTGCTTTGCTGTGTTTTGCTGTAAAAAGGGCTGTCAGAGTGTACTTAGTGCCAACCTTGCAGCAATTGGCCTATGCAAAATAGTAAGGTTAGAAATGACTCGACTCTGAACAAAATGCAGCTGTGATTTTCATGTAGTTAGATTCTTTGATCCAACTGATTTCTCTAATGCTGTGGATCCCAAATGGGTTTCCTGGGCTGGTGGAATAATTTACTGCCGAGGTTCTGGACGGTAAAGACAGAAGAAAGGAATCAGCAAGGAGGGAATCAGCAGCTGTACTATTCCGTGTGTATGAGTAGTACCTTCATCTCTTGCAGGAATG